AAAATTATTTGCTACTTTTTCCTAAGACTTATCAGGGGTCTAAACAAAAAATTATTAAAAAAGCTATATTTTATAATGTTTATAGTGAAATTAGAGACGTCATACCTATGGGAATGTAACTTCTAGAGCCTAAAAAAAAATAAAAAATCAAGCTGACATGCACTGACCGCTGTAGAATTTACCAAAATAAAGACATTGAGTAATCAATTGAATATCAATGTAATTGCTCTGCAGACTACATCAAAAATTTAAATTTTACAAAAACCGAGTTTATACAAAATTCTCCCACAGACCAAACTTTTAGAAGAATGGTGCAAAAAATATTACCCATGCACTATAAGTCGTCAAAAGCCGTAAGTTCGGCCGGATCGAACTTTGAATACCCTCCATCAAATGGAAAAAATGTTGAAAATTTTCAAAAAATACCAAAAATTCTGCAGATCAAACACACATTTGAGTAAAATTTTATTAACCTACTTCAATTCGTTCGGAAGCTAGAGTGATTTCCACCCGTGGACAATTATCGTTAAATCGACATAGAATTTAATGCATTTTCTTTATTTCTTGATTTTTTTTTTTTTTTTTTTTTTTTTTTGAAATAAAAGTTTTTAAGAAGATTTTGGCCTAGAATAGAAACTTGTTAGATAAGCAGTAAAAAAACTTAAACTCATAATTTTCACATATAATATATACATTATGAATGATTTTTTTTTTTTTTTTGAAACTATTGAATTTCGATATAAAGTTTATTCTGAGATTTATAGTGAAATTTTGTGGATAATATTTCTTCTTTTAACATATTTTGCCTAAAGTGAAATTTAATGTTACTTTTCTATATCAACACAAAAATAGGCCAAGGAAAAATTGATCAAAAAAAAAATATATATATATAAAATATTTTCGCGTATTTATGACAACATTGATGCAAATATTTCTACAGACGGACGGACCTGGCAAAATCGACATAGAATATTATGCTGATCAGTAACATATATACACCGCTGGGTCAAAAATGATTATTTCGCGGAGTTACAAAGAGACTGACAAACTTAATATACCATCCATACTAAATATAATATAGGGAATAAAAATCCACATGTAAAAATTTGATTACGTTCTATACATAAGTTTTCCAAAATCCACATTCAAGAGCATGAAAATTCTCTGGAAAAAGATATCAACTGTATTCGATTGCTAGCGGGTCTAATTTTTAAATTTAATTCAACATATATTTAATTTTTTCACAAATCTATATATTTTTTTTTCTTGTTCTTAGACGATTTTTCGATATTTTTAATAACTATTTCACTTTTAATTTCAGTACTCTATAATTAAATTTAAACAGAATTGTCAACATAAATGGTCATCGATGCATGACATTCACCAATGTCGCAACTATCGGAACACAGATTTTCCAAGGTAAGTTTAACGCATTTGCACTTAACCCACTTCAGAGATTTTCAACAACAACAACAAATATAAAATACTCCCAGTGTCATTCAAAATAAAACATTTTTCCAATAGTTGTCATTTACACATTTAAAAATTTTAATTCGTATTTTTGTATGCATCGAAAAAAACAAAAGACTTAAGACACAAGCACATTGTCATGTTTTACTTTTCATTGCATATTTTATGGCGACTCATCCATTTCATAATCCTTACAAATTTTATAACTTTTTGCTTAACTCACGTAATTCAGTTATTAATTGATGCACTGCCGGCGAATCTAATGTTTCCATGCCTTGTGTGGCAATCCACATCGAATAACCGCTGAATCATAAAAATAACATTTATTTTCTTAATATATGTATAATGGAAATGAAGATATCTCTTCTTTGGTGACTTATTGAAAATTTGATAAAGAAAATGATAATCTTTGACGTCATCCTTCTCAAATCCTAAATTTCTTCTTAATATATATGAATTCTTGGCTTTTAGGTAAGATTTAGACCTTTGATAACTTCTTGGGCCTATACTTCAATTTTATGACAAATATTTATAGAATATTTTGACTTTCTACGATGTCCTAGAAATTTTAATCCAAAATTTCAATAAATGCGGAAGAGGAGGAAAATGTCACCCTCTTTGTGTAGCTCTATTTTAATAATCTATGAGATTGGAATGAAAATCCTTTCTTTTAGACCTTCAAAAATATTTTTAAAGTTCAAATCGGGACCAAAAGTGTTCTAAAGGATATTTTAGCCTTTCAAAGAGTATTCTTAAAATTGCTCATTCGAGGCCCATTAACGCATTTAAAAAATATTCCTTATAATCCAATTTAATTTCAAAAATATTTAAAAATCCACTTTTTAAGCTCTTTTCGATATCCAAAAAATGTTCTTCAAATTCTTTATTTAAACCCCTTTTATTTTTTATAGCCTTCACCATTCTATGGGGGGTATATTAACGTTGTCATTCCGTTTGTAACTCCTCGAAATACTCATGTCAGACCCAACAAAGTATATATATTCTTGATCAGCGTAAAATTCTAAGTCAATTTCGCGATGTCCGTCTGTCTATCCGTCTATCCGTTTGTGGAAATCACTCTATCTTTCGAATGAATTGAGATAGATGGCTAACATTTTGTACACATTTTTATTTTGCTAGTAGGCAGACTAAGTTCGCAAATGGGTCATGTAGATCCACGTTTTCATATAGCCCCCATATAACGGTACCTCCCGATATTCGGTGTTTTGATGGTTTTAGCCACATTTTCCAATGATATTGTCTGAAAATCCACACAAGGAGTTCCTTGTGAGTACTTTACCCCCTGAAAGAGAGTTGTCTATATAGGTCCACGATATCGTATATCCCCCATATAACGATAACCCCCGATATTTGGTATTTTTATGATTTTAGCCACACTTTTTAACAGAATTGCCTGAAAGTACACACAAGAAGTTCCTTGTGAGTACGTTATCCCCTGGAAGATAATTATCTATATAGGTCCACGATATCGTATAGTCTCCATATAACTGTACCCCCCGCTATTCGGTATTTTAATGATGTTAACCACATTTTTCCACGGAATTGTCTGAAATTCTACACAAGGAGTTCTTTGTGAGTACTTTACCCCTATAAATAGATTTGTCTACATTGATCCACAATATCGTATATCGCCCCATATATCGGCACCTTCCGATATTAGGTATTTTAAAGATGTTAACAGAATTTTTAATGAATTTTGTTTTTTTTTTTTTTTTTTGTTTTGAAAAATTTCTAATTCGTTCCAAATGGTGGAGGGTATTCAAAGTTCGGCCCGGCCGAACTTACAGCTTTTTTAAAATTTTGAACATTGAAAAATATTTTTTGAAGGACACATTTGAAATCATTTTGGAAATTCAAAAATAATTCTTAAAAATGCACCTTGGAAGGACCTTCGAAAAATACTCTTAACAATCCACCTTAAGAACACACAATTGAGGTCCCCTTTTGTAATGTCACGCTGCTGCTAGGGTATGTTCGCCATGGCCAAGAAATTTATTTTTGTCAGTGACTTGAGTAAGGAGAGTAGCTTGTTATATTTTTTTGGTAGAGATGCCCCCCTCAATTATTAAAATTCTTCTGCTGCCAATTTGACGCTTCGATGCTTTGGCGGTTCTGGCTCCCAGCGGTTTTGGCAATTCGCTGGTTTAAATAGGAAGGTCATAGATCGGGCTCTGAAACCGTCGGTTACTCTGTCTCCTATTGCTGTCAGAATCGCGGAAGTGGACTACTCGGGTTGTCCTGGACTTCAAGAGCGGTTTTCTAACACTTAATCTTCTCCAGTATTAACTAGCGGCGAATTAAGCTGGAGGATTTCTACGGATAGAAACCTCGTGGCTGAGTGACTAACGGAAACTCACTCTCGTTGGTCAATTGTGGTGTCGTTCTATTCTTCACCCCTCTTACCTACTGTGAATATGTTGTCTTTGTTGGGTCTCGTTCCTCGATCTTTCTTCCCCACGCACTAGTTACTGGCTTTCTCTTGACTTCACTCAAAAAATATTTGTTCATGTTCACATTTGAGGTCATTCTAGGGCTTTTAAAATATTCGCGTTTTTAACCCCTCCTAGATTTTCAAAAAATTTTCTTTAAAATTTGGTCTTCCAAAAAATATTCTTTAAAGTCGACTTTCAAGACCTTCGCTTCCACTCAAAAAAGTATCCGTAATCCACGTTTGAGGACATCTTGAAAATTAAGAAATTGTATTTAAAATTCACGATTGAGGTTTTTTAAACTTCAAAAAATATTCTGAAAAATTTGCACTTTCGAACTTTCAAAATATTCTTAAAAATCTACGTTTGAGCGACTTTTAGAAAATCTTCAAATATTATTTACATTATTTATTATATTTGGAAAAAATGTTATACTATCAGCAACGTAACAATATATTTCGACGGGACGTCCCACAAGTCCCGTAGACGAGTAGCTAAAAAAATCCCTTTGGCTCTACAAAAATACACTTCATAATACACGCTTAAAGCCTAACATCTTCAAAAAAATTTTTACAATTAAAAGCCCTCTTAAGCCTTACAAAGTATTTTTCAGAATCAGCTGTTGACGTCCTTTTAGACTTAAAAAAATTTACGTTTTATTCCCCTTTTAAACCTTCAAAACACTCTCATCTCAAATTCATCTTTAAATATTCTCAATGATCTTCTTTATAGGCCTTATACACCTTTAAAAATGCCTTTAATAAATTGAATCTAAGAATAGTATCCTCTATAGAGACAAAGTTTTTCCTCTAAGGACTATATCGTACATGATTAAAAGTTCATGTAAATATTAAAAGTGGAAGGTCGGAAACGAGCAGGATAATACTGTAACTGAGAACTGCCGTCTCTATCCAATTTCTTGTTGTTTTTTGTGTCTCCTTGACTAGCAAAAACATTTACGTAGGGAAAAGTGAATCCAGTAACACTTTTGCATACTTGGCATTTCAATTTTTGAAAGAGTCCTAATACACTAATTCTACGATATCCATCCACTTTCTCCTAAATTTTAGGTAGCCAACATTTATGCATTATCAATAATTTATTGTCTTTTTTTTTCTATAAATATACACTTTAAAATACTCATCGTTCGCATCTTAAGCCATTATTAGTTAAAAATTTCCATTAGTCTAGGGGAGGGGCATCAAATCACTGCTTGTTGATCAACAACAAATCGAAGGGTAAATGGGCAAAGAATTCATTGGCATTTTTTAGGAAAATGGGTTCCCAGGTGGAACGAGTCTCTGGCACAACAGATTTGTAGACTTGGCGCCAATTTTGATTGGCCAAATCCAGGAGGGCATCATCTAAAGGAAAGAGGAATTTATTAAATTTAAGATTTTCTGAAAATAGAGAAAGAGAGAGCGAGGGGTATACTTACTCAAAGCCTTATCGGGCACCAAACCGGTGGCATATACATGCATATCACCCAATGTGGGATCGATGTTGAATTTTGTTATACGCATATAACTGTGGCCATCACGTTCATAGAGTTCAGCTTCAGTTTCCGTTTTGGCAGATATGTCGGCTGTTTAAAAAATAAAACATAATTTTTTTGGAAAAAATAAAAAATCGATTTTTATGTCGAACTTACTTATGGTAACATTGAAAATTCCCTTCGATGACATCTTATTGTTGTTGACAAACACTTCAGCCTTGTACGAACCATCCACCTGCAGTTTAGGAGTCCTTGTATAGGTGGTAAATTTAACTTTATCACCATTCCTTTCAAATTCAGTCTTATCCACCGTTGACTTGGAGAGGCCAACAATTCGAACATTGCGCAGCGCCATCTTACCCTGTACGAAGTTATTTTCAAATTGCAAATTAGATTTTTCCTGTATCAGAGGATCAGTGGGTCGAATATTGAGTTCAGGGACACCATCTTTGCTGCGTTTAATCATCGATTGCATGACATCACGGATGCAGGTGTTAATATTCTCATCTTCTTTGCATGGCTCGATGCCATCAGCTGGATTGTAAGAAAGAGAGAGCAATATTAGTAATGAAATTGGAGTAAGGTAACGTTAGGAAAATAATTTGAAAACAAACATTTTTTTAATTTTTTTCAATTTTTAAATTTTCAGTTCATACAAAAGACTTAAGAAACGAACATACTTGTTTTTGACAAAAGGCTTGGTAGGCCTTTGCAGCCGTCTCATTTTATTTAAATAAATCACGATCGTGGGTTTTACAGACCTCTTAAAAATCATTTTTTAATATCTAATTTTTTCTTAGAAATCTGAAAAACTGATGCATTCGAAAATATACCAACAAATCGACATTGAGGTCTTAATACATAGTGTTAACGTTTGAAACCTAAAAAAAATGATTTTGAAAATGCTGTTATGATCCTTTCAATGAATACACTCTGAAATTCTTTCTTAAATTCCCAACTAGGAATTGTTCGAAAAATATTGTTAAAATTCCAAGTATGGAAATTTCAATAATATATTCCGTTTTAAGGTCTTTGGCCCTACACGCATAAATACGGAAAATTTTAGATCCTTTCGATGCTTCCAAAAACATTCAAAAAAAAAAACTGATCTCTTTTTAGAGCTTCATAAAATATTTAAAGAAATCTACATTTGAAGCCTTTTTAAAATCCAAACTTAAAGCCCATTTAATAAATTGTTCTTCTACAATTATTCTGCAAAAATTTGCGTAAAAAAACAAGTTAAATGTCTTTTAGCCCTCTTGGGACCAAAAACAGATATTATTAAAATCCACACATAAGCCTTTTCAGACCTTCAAGAAAATATATTTTTCAAAATCTACGTTTAAGTTTTTATTAGAACTTCAAAAAATTCTTAAAAAATTTTCTCCCTATCTGCATTTGAGTCCTTCCAAATTATCCTTGTCAATTAATGTTTAAGTCCTGCCAAAACATGTTCAAAAATCCTCGTTTAAAGCTCAAAGACCACTTTTAAGGATCATTTGGACCACCAGAATTATTTAAAAATCCAAGTTTAAATCCATCTTAGATTCTCAAAGATATATTTATTAAAAATCCACGTCATTTTTTGAATTCACATTTAAAGCCACTTTAGACCATCAAGGTTCCACTCTTAAAAATCCATACTTGAGGAAAGTTTGGACCCTCGAAAATCTGTTTTTAAAAAATCTACATTTAAGAAAAATTCGGACCCTCAAAAATATATTTTAAATATCCATGTTTGATTAAAATTTGAAAAAAATGAGGTTTCAATGGACCCCAAAAATATATTTATTAAAATCCACGTTTGAGGTCCTAATGTACCCCAAAAAAATATATTTTTAAAAAGCCTCAAAAATATATATTAAAAAAAACACGATTGAGAAAATTTAAACTGTCAAAAATCTATTTTTAAAAATACATTTTGAGGTCCTAATGGACCCCAAAAATATATTTTTATATGTTTATGTATTTTTATATATTTATACATATTTTTATATAATATATTTTATATTTTTATTTGAGATCCTATTGGGCCCCAAAAACTATTAATAAAAAATCCACGTTTATTAACCTTTGAATCCTCAAAAACTGGTTTGAAGTATATAAATTTGTGACCCTCAAAAAAATATTTAACAATCCACGATTGAAGACTTTTTGAACCCTCAAAAAATATTTTTTGGGGGAAATTTTGGACCCTGAAAAATATATTATAATAAATATACGTTGGAGGTTCTTTTTGACCCTCAAACATTTATTTTTAAAAAATCCACATTTGAGGAAAATTTGGGCCCTCAAAAAAAAAAATATTTATTTTTTTTAAGTCCACTTTTGAAGAAATTTTGAAAAAATTTTAAAAAATCCACGTTAAAAAAATGTTTTTTTAAAATCCACGTTTGGCGTCCTTTTTGACTAACAAAAATTTATTTTTAAAAACCCCACGTTTATCATCCCTTTGAACCCCCAAAATATATATTTTTAAAAAATCCCCACTCTTGTGGAAAACTTGGACTCTCAAAAATTTATTTTTAAAAATTCACTTTTGAGGACCTATTGGACCCTCAAAAATATTTTTTTTTAAGTCCAGGTTTGAGGAAAATTTTGACCTCCAAAAATCTATTTGTAAAAATCTACGTTTGAGGAAATATTGACCCCCAAAAATCTATTTTTAAAAATTCACATTCATTTTCATGTTCAAAAATCTATTTTTAAAAAATCCACCCCGAGGCCCTATTGGAACCCCAAAAAACTATTTTTGAAAATACGCGCTCAAAAATTGATATAAAAAAATCCAAGTTTGACTTAAATTTGGACCCTCAAAAATAATTTTTTTAAAAAACTCCAAGTTTGACTTAAATTTGGACCATCAAAAATTAATTTTTTTAAAAAAATTCAAAGTTTGACTTAAATTTGGACCCTCAAAAATTAATTTTTTAAAAAAATCAAAGTTCGACTTAAATTTGGACCCTCAAAAATTATTTTTTTAAAAAAATCCACGTTTGAATTAAATTTGGACCCTCAAAAATAATTTTTTTTAAAAAATTCACGTTTGACTTAAATTTGGACCCTCAAAAATTATTTTTTTAAAAAAATCCACGTTTGAATTAAATTTGGACCTTCAAAAATTATTTTTTTAAATTATTTTTTTAAATCCATAAAATTTAAATCCAAAAATTATTTTTTTAAATCCACGTTTGACTTAAATTTGGACTCTCCTCAAAAATTGTTTTAAAAAAAAATCCACGTTTGACTTAAATTTGGACCTTCCAAAATTAATTTTAAAAAATCCACATTTAAGTAAAATTTGGATCTGGAAAAATCCACGATATTTTTGAAAAAAAATAACCTTTACCATTAAACAAAAAAATATTATTTAAGACACTTAGTCATTTTACCTTATAAAAAGAAAATCCGTAAAATCCGAGTTAATAGCTTTTATAGCTACCCTTAAAACATGCATTATTAGTCCTTATATAGCAAAGTAAATTTCAGTATGTCAATCGCCCGATTTTGATCTTTCCTTTCTGGTTTTACCATTTTCTTTGACTTTGAAATTTTTTATTCCCCTAAACCTCCTCACACCTGATTTTGACACACGTGTACAGCAAAAAAACCAAATTCATTGTCAAGTTCATGTTTCATGCGACAAAACCCAACACTAGACAAATATTTTCGTTTTCTATTTCAATTTCATATTCCCAAGCGTCATATTTACCGGCATTTTGTCGTTGAGCCGAATAGTAAATTACACATTCATAGCTATTCAAACGTGCATTTTACGCCCCCCAATTGTCTGCGAAACGTGGTATGCATGTCTCCAAAATGTAACCACATGACATGCTGTATTCACGCAATATTATTAAATTGCCTTACAAAATTATATATTTTTATGGGCACTAATAGTGATTTATTATCGGGGTATTTGGTGTTGTAAGTTTAACAAAATTGATTTGGGAAAGTTCATTTACATTGAAATAAAATATTTACTTAAATGATATATTCCACAGACAGCGACCTACACAGGAATTCCTTTCGAAGCCATTTTGGGGGAGGCCAAACTGGCAAAAAACTGACTTTTTTCGTACCAAAAATACCTGAATAGTGACACGCACGCCCCGCGGTGGGTATGTCTACATCCACAGACATATGATCTCTAGGGCTCTAGGTTGTTATTTTTCAACAATATAAAAAAAAACATAAGGAGGTCTCCAAATTGGTTCATTTTTCGAGCATCTTAATGTTTTTTTAACTTTGACCAGGTGACTTCTGAAGAAGGACTATCAAGCCAAAAATTGTGGATTTTTCAAAAAAAATTGTGGAAAATTCTTATACGGTCCTCGTCGACAAAAATTGTGGATTATTAAGAAAAATTTTTAGGATTTCCTGGCCGCAAAACTGGGTGTTTAAGAATACAATATACAAGGTCTTGCTGTACAAAAAACGGAAACGGCTAACTAGTTTTTTACTAAATTTTTGAAATTTCATACAACAAAAAATTATTTTTACAAGGTAGAAATGCACAAAAATCATGGACTTTTTAACGATTTTTTGCACAAGAAACGTGGATTTTTTAAACATTTTTTCCAAGGTTTTACTGTACAATAATTGCGAATTTTTCGTACAAGGTCTCATTGCATAAAAATATTGGGTTTTTAAAAACCCTGTATAGATGTTTTAAATTTTTTGGTTTTCAATTATTTTTTTAAACCCATTTTTATTGCGTTTAAATAATAGCCATTGGAAATATTGAAGTGTTTAAAACGAAAGACTTAAGACACGAACTCTAGAAATAAATGGACCCATAGTTCCTTATAATGATTTACATAGAATCACATACTGACTCGATTTATACATGTCCGTCCGTCTATTCATGTATATTTGAGATGAAAATGTCCACAAATAATTTGTTTGGCCCAAGGACGCACAATATTAAAATTGGTGAGAATCAGTCCAAATTTAGATACAGCTCCTGTCCGATTTTAATTTAAATGTGCGTCATATGTTTAGTATTCATCCAACTAGGATGTATATCAGCACTTCCGACCGAATTTAGCCTAGAAGCAAGTTCTTTGAATTTTATCAAAATAGGTTCGAATACATCTATGGCACCCATGCAGAGTAATATGAAAAAACTGCAACAAATTTCAGACTTCTGTCATTTCCAAGCCACTCGTCCGACAGCTGTTAAAATTATTCCTGTTTACAACAGTACAAAATCATTTTCGTGAGAATTTTCCAGAAAAAAAAGTTATTCGTGATGGAATTCAAGCGTGTTGACGTGTGATTTCTTTATATTTGGCTGGAAAACCACAAGTGGCTATCGTTAGAGCACTCCTGCATTTAAATAATACATTTGAATAGATCTTTTGTGTCTCGTATCATCGCCCGTTACCGTAATACTGGTAGCGTAGCTCGACGTCCAGGAAATGGACGAAAGACAACAACAACATCAGCAGAAATGGTTCGAAAAGTAAAGAAGCGACTTGATTGGAATTCGTGTCGCAATGGCCGAAAAATGGCTCGTGAGCGGAATATATCGCAATATTTTCGTTCGGCAAATATTGAAAAATGAGCTCGGGGTGAAGCCATTGAAATTCCAAAAAGGGCAAGAACTTACCGCAACCGCAACAGAAAAAAAATAGACTGAATAAAGCTAAAGAGTTGCTTCGCTTGGCCGATAGTGTTGTACTACCGAATTTGGTTTTCTCCCCCTCCGATGAGAAAACATTCCGTGTCCAGCAGTTTGTAAATAAACAAAATGATCGAGTTTACTTGCCAAAGAGGTCAGCTGAAAATGTGCACCTTCGGTTGACCACCAGAACTCAAGTGCCGGCTATGTTGATTGTGGTGTGGGCCACCATAACAGTCGATCGTCATTCTCCGCTCGTATTAATCGACCGTGGCATCAGAATAAATGCCAAGTATTATCGCGAAAATATTCTGGAGGGTGTACTAAGGCCTTGGGCACGCAAACATTTTGGCCGCAGACCTTGGACATTCCACCAGCACTCAGCGCTGAGAGCGATACTCGCCACTCGCCACCTAAGAATGGTTACAAAATGAGGTTTCTCGCTTCATTTCCAGCGCACAATGACCACCAAAATCTCCGAATACCAATCCGTTGGACTATTGTGTCTGGAGTATTTTGAAAAGCAAGGCTGGCACTTAAAAATACCAAAGTGTCGAACACCTCAAGCAAGCGCTTAGCCGGGAATGGGCCATAATACTGCAGAGCAACCATAATTCGTGTCAAATGTGACCAATTCGAACAAATCTAAACTTATTCTAAAATTTGATACTATTTCCGATATTTCTTGCTTTCTTTCAATAAAAGTTAAAAATAAAAATTTTAAAAAAAAATTGATATTGTTGCATTTTTTTATCTCACGCTATATTTATTATTATTTTTTATGATTAATTATTAAAAGACTTAAGGCACGAACTTCAATCCTTTTATAATAAACCGGTTAAAATTCCGATATTCTTTATATATATCTCGATTATATTTATGCTATATTGATTAATGTTTTATGGATTCATATTTTATGTTATTATTTTTATTATTTATATTTTTTTATTTAGTTTTTACTAATATATTTATCATTTATTTATTTTATTCTTTATAAAATCTTATTTGTATTTCTGATAGCCACGTCGTATTTTTCAATAGGATTATAGTGTTCTCAGTTTAAAAATGTAAATTGTTTTTTAAATTCATTTTTAAGAAAAATATTCTCGAAATTTTTGTTTTATAATTTTATTTTTTTACTTTTATTTAATTATTATTATTTTTATTTAATTATTATATTTTTTTATTTTTTTTTTTTTTGTTTTTTTTTTTTTTTTTGAGCAATTTTTCACATATTTTTAATTTTGTACGATTTTATAAAAAAAATTCACTCACGTAAGGCGGTAACATCAATGAAATCATTGGCCGGTGCCGACAGGACACATAGAACATTAAGAGCAATAGCAATTATCGCAAGACTATATTTTGTAAACATTTTATTTTATTTGAATTTTTTAAACACTCCAACTAAATATCCTTAGGACAATGAGAATCTATTTCGATTGGCAAGTTAAACTTTCACCCGTTTTCAAACACGTCCAACTGTCATCTGAACTACCAGCTAACGGTCAGTTGGCTATTTATTTACAAATAACTGAGGAAATATCATCAATATCAAGGGGATGATCATAATGATGATGATGATCATCATCATCACCGCTACCGTCATTGACGTCGTCGTCACCGTTATCAATTGTAGAAATTCTAAAACAGCTACTGCAGGCAGCAGGCGAAGCTATCCATTAGAACAATGACAAAGCCAAAGACAATGGCCAGTTGCGGCGGCAAACAAAATAAATAAAAAATAAAATGAAAAAATAATGCCAAACTGCAAAGTTCTAAAGCCAACAAATGAGTTGTTAACTCGAATCACGATTAGAATTTAGTATTTTGTGGTCACCTCCACCTCCATCTCCTCGACCAAAACACCCGGCAGCATTTGTCCGCAGCATGCACTCACTTGCTCGCTGGCTTTGTGATGCGCAACCCTGGTTAATTGGCTAATTTTCAAATTGTCAGTTGGACGGTTTTTTTTTATTTAATGTCTTTATCTCGACAGAGACATTATGACACGCTCTGGTTAGCAATTAATTTATAAAAAATATATATATAAACTTATATATATCAATTAAAGTACATATGTACTTAAATACTATTGCCAAAAATCTCATTTGAAACTGTAACAAATCTGCAAGCAATTGCATAATTGTTCGTTAGTACTTTTAATGAACTATTGTCTGGCATTTGGTGTGTGTGTGTATTTAGCCTGCCACAAAGATCAAGCTACGTTGGCATGAATTTACAAAAAAAAAAAAAAGTAATTCTCAATTAGTCTGGGTTTTATAACCCGCAGAATTTTATAATTTCATTTATAATTTTAAACCCGAAAAGTCTTTGGGTTAAAAAATTAAATCGAATCGAAGAGATTTTTTGATAAAACAAAGAAGTGGAGGACCTTACCTAAAATTGGGTAGAAAGCCGAAATATTATTTCCAGGTGACTGAAACTCGAATCTGGACATTTTCATAAGTGGTGTGAGATATGACAATTATTTTCGAAATTCACGAAAAGTACTAACATATACAAATGAAACAAAATTGTATGGTTTCGTTATTGAGCTATTGGAAATCTCTCGTGGTTAAGAGGTCATATTCAGCGATTTTTCATGTTACATAAATGTTATAGTATTTCAATAAGACGGGATTTTGAAACATTTCTACGCTAATGGTACGAAAAGTACAAAATGGTACAGTATTGTTACTGAGCTATTGGTACCGTAGTAAATTTCGGAGTTCACACCTTGCTGAGATGGAATGAGATCAAACTCGATATCCAGAAATTTGTACATTAAGGGTACCGTAGTACATTGAAAGTTCGCATGGGGCTCACACCTTGACGAGATGGAATGAGATCAAACTCGATTTCCTGAAATTTCTACCTTAAGGGTACAAATTGTACGAAAATTTGGGAAATGGAGTAGAATGGATCTGTAAGTGATAATAACTGAACGTACAGGTCAATTCTGCACATAAATCCGTCTTGGTGCGGGTAAAAGGTTTACTTCGGATTTATTACAAAAAAGTACGTAAAGAATACGCTTTTAGTAGAACATCACTCCCCTTTCCTCTCTGGTTTGTTTTCTACTAAATTTACTCGTGATAGTCAACGTAGGACTGCATTAATGACTTGGATTCCAGACGCTAGAAACCCCAGACGATAGAAACCCCAGCACACATTTTGACTTCGATTTCAGGAGATGGAAAATTCCGTCAAAACATATCAATGAAAAGCCGCATAATGGGTATTTCGAGGTTGTCGGGCTTGAAAATACTTGCATTAATGATTTAGGTTCCAGACGCTAGAAACCCCAGCCCACACTTTGACTTCGATTTCAGGAGATGGGAAATTCCGTCAAAACATGTCAATGACAAGCCTCATAATGGGTTATTTCGAAGTCGGCGGGCTTAAACATATCTCAACGATGGGTCTTCAATGATGGGAGACGCTCGCCAAAGGTCCTTACAACACAGGAGGAGTATTTCTATTGGGGCTCGGTTATTTGTCCGTATTAATTATTGGAGGAACTTATTTTGAAGTTGGTTATAGTACATAACGTAGAAGGATTATTATGGAAGACGCTTCTCATAGATAGGTTGAAGGAGCTGGTCACAGATCCATGAGAGGATCTAGTCAGAGATAAATTGGAATAGCTCTTAGAGGTTCGATACATTAGCAAGTTAAAGAAGCTCATTGGAGGTTCTTTTCCGAAGGTCATTAGAGGAAAGCTCATTACACGTTAGAAGGTTGTCAGAAGTCTATTAGAGAAGCTCGTCACTCTAACGAGCTCATCCCTCGGAGGAGCTCATCAGAAGGACTTAAGTAGAGCTCGTCAGATGCAGAGGTCTGTTAAAGGAGATATTTTGAGGTCCTATAGAGAATTTTCAGAGGTCCGTTAGAGGATCTCAACAGATTTTTGTTAGATGAACTCAACAGAGGATAAAGGTCGTCAGAGTAGCTTGTAAGAGGGACGTTGGAGGAGCTCATCAGAAGAACATAAGAGAACTTCGCCAGAAGGATGTTTGAAGAGCCCTTAGAGGTGCAATTGTGCGTTATTGGAATTCAACAGATGTTTGATAGAGTGCGTTATTGGAATTCAACAGATGTTTGATAGAAGAACTCATCAAAGGTCCGATTTAGGAACTCAACAGAAAACCAAAAGAGGAGACGTTTAAAGAGCCCTTCAAATGTCATACGGAGAAGCTTATTAGAGGTGCTATAGAGGAGTTTATCAGATATCCGTTAGAGAAACTCAACAGATGTTTGATAACGAAACTTACCAGAGGCGCGATTGAGGAACTTAACAGAAAACCGATAGAGGAGATCTTCAGAAGTGCTGTAGATGAGCTCGTTAAACGTCCCTTTGAGGAGGTTCTCAGAGGTTCATTAGATTGGCCTGTTAGAGGGATGTAGAGGAGCTCATCAGGAGAACGTTAGAGGATTTCGGCAGAAGGATGTTTGAGGATTTCCCTTAGAGGTTTGTTAAAGGAGCTCCTTAGAGGTCTTAGAAAAGAGCTGGCTATGCGCCCGATAGAAGAGTTTGTCAGAGGCCCCTTAGGAGGAAGTTAACAGTGATCCGTTGGAGTAGTTTGTTATAGGGACGTCGGAGGAGCTCATCAGGAGAACGTTAGAGGATTTCATCAGAAGGATGTTTGAGGATTTCCCTCAGAGGTTTTTAGAAAAGAGCTCGCTATGCGCCTGATAGAATAGTTTGTCAGAAGCCCCTTAGAAGGAACTCAACCGATGTTTGATAGAGGAACTCAGCAGAGAACCGATTAAGAAACTCAACAGCAAACCGATAGAGGAGATCTTCAGACGTCCTATAGAGGAGCTCGTTAGACGTCCAAGAGAGAAGAAGAACGTTAGAGGAATTAGCCCGTAGAGGAGTTTGTCAGAGATCAGTTGGAGGAACTCAACAGATATTTGATATAGGAACTCAACTGAGATCCTATTAACAAACTCAACAGAAATCCTGTAGAGGAGTTCATTCGTTGGACCATTAAAGGAGCTCGTTGGAAGAACTTCAAAATAGCTCGTCAGAAAAACTTCTGAGGATGTCGTCAGAAGAACGTTTACGAAACTTGTCGGAGTTCCGTTAGAGAAGTGCTCATAAGAGGTAGAAATGCATGGCCATACCTCTGGTTATGAATCAGCAGAGAAGTTGGTAAAACGTGGATTCGATTTGGAGGACGAGAACTCGGTCCTATGAGATTTTAACAAGACTAGCTAAATGAAGGGGTGTGTAATGTCTCTAAGAAAGTCTGGCCAAAAATCTTTGGGAAGAGATCAATGTCACTCGTTTCCATGGCGAAATCGAACCTAGAACTAACATAAGGGCCATGACTTCTAAGTGGAGTGGGAACTACACCAATTATTCTTGGATTTGTTAAGAAGAGGAGAATACTGAAACGGTCGAACATTTACTCTCCAACTGTCCAACCCTCTTCGGTGTGAGACACAGCCCTTTGGGGGAGCAAATAATACACGATCTATTTTCATTCTCTGATACTAAACCTGCAGTCTTAATTTTTAGGAAGAACTCAATGGACCTGGAGGTCTCCGAGCGGTGTAATTTTCTCAAGACAAATATGCGTCCTTTAACTTAACCTAAGTATAGCTCGAGGAGCTCGTTAGATTTCTTAGACATTAAATTGACCCCCTGCAAAAAAGTGTAATTTTGGAGCTCCTAAGAGAGAAACCCATTGCATTTTTAGCACTTTAAAATAACTTTACCTTCAGAAAAATTTCAAATTCTACTACCTCTCACTTGTCTGTACCACCACTCGACCTCTGTTTCCCATTCCTACTTCTTCTTTCCCGTTACAACTCAATTAATAATGGCTTTTGCAAAGTTTCTTTTTTAGCTTGTTTGCTGTTTTCCGTTTTTACTCTATTGACAAACCACTTGAATTCGTCTGGTATTGACGTGTGTTTTTTCTCCAATAACCATGTCTAGTATTAACGCCTCAGTAGATACAAAATTGAGTTAATGGCATCACAAATCAATTGTCAGTTTTAGTTTACAATTTAAATCTCAACACGACATAAATTACAGCTAATGGACCAATTAGAATTTCCGACTAAATTGATTTGAATTCTGCTGTTGTTATCGATTTGACAAGTCAATTTTCAAGTGCACAGGGTGAGATGAAAAAAACTGCAACTAACTTCAGACTGCTGTCACTTCTAAGCCACTCGTCCGACAGCTGCTGAAATTATTCCAGTGACAGCTCATTATATTGTTTACAAGCGTACAACAGGCATTTTGATGAGAATTTTCCAGAAAAAAAGTTATTCGGGATGGAATTCAAGCGTGATAGTGTGATTTCTTTATATTTGTCTGCAAAAACCACAAATGGCTATCGGTAGAGATGGATGGAAGAAAACAGCAACATCAGCAGAAATGGTGAGAAAAGTAAAGAAGTGACTTGATCGAAACCCGCGTCGCAATGGCCGAAAAATGGTTCGTGTGCTGAATATATCGCAATATTCCATTCGGCAAATATTGAAAAATGAGCTTGATGTAAAGCCATTGAAATTCCAAAAAGTGCAAGAACTTACACCACAACAGAAAGGAAATAGACTCAAAGAGCTCAAAAGAGTTGCTTCGCTTGGCCGAAAGTGGTGAACTGTCGAATTTGGTTTTCTCTCTCCGATGAGAAAACATTCGTTCGTTCGTCGATCGTGTTTACTTGCCAACGAGGTCAGCTGAAAATGTGCACCTTCGGTTGGCACCAAAACTCAAGCGCCGGCATGGTGATGGTGCGGGCCGCCATAAAAGCCAATGGTCGTTCTCCGCTCGTATTAATCGACCGTCACATCAGAATAAATGCCAAATATTATCGCGAAAATATTCTGGAGGGTGTATTAAAGCCTTGGGCACGCAAACATTGGACATTCCAACAGGGCTCAGCACCATTGCACTCAGCACGCGCCACCCAAGAATGGTTACAAAATGAGGTTCCCCGCTTCATTTCCAGCGCACAATGACCACCAATATCTCCCGATACCAATCCGTTGGACTATTGTGTCTGGAGTATTTTGGAAAGCAAGGTTGGCCCTTAAAAATACCAAAGCGTCGATCACCTCAAGCAAGCGCTTCGCCGGGAATGGGCCAAAATACCGCAGAGAAACATTCGAGTAGCGTGTGACGGTGTCACCATTTCGAACAAATCTAAACTTATTCTTAAATTTGATGCTATTTCCGACATTTTTTGTTTTCATTCAATAAAATTTAAAAAAAAAGTAAAAATTATGGTGTTTGACTTTGTTGCAGTTTTTTTGACTCACCCTGTATATACTTTGTTGCAATGACGGAAAAATAAAAGGTGGACAACAAGTTTCATTCATGGGAAAAGTGATAAAATGAATACAAGATTCTATTGATTTTTTCCTGTTCAAAATTATGAGGACTTCCATACCCAGGTTTTTTTTTTATACCCTACACCACAAGGTGGTCAGGGTATTATGACTTTGTGCATTTGTTTGTAACAGGCAAAAGGAAACGAGATAGACCCATAGTTCCTTTTGATGATCTGCATAGAATCACATTCTGAGTCGATTTATGCATGTCCGTCTGTCCATATATTTTTGTAAACAAAGTACAGTTCGCATTTATTGCCCTATCCTGATGAAATTTTGCACAAATCATTTCTTTGGCCCAAGGACGAACCCTATTGAAATTGGAGATAATCGGTATAAATTTTGCATATAGCTCCCATATATATCCTCGTCCGAATTGCCTTTTATTGTGCACCAAACGTGTAATATCAGCCCGAATAGTATGGAATTTTGCACATACAACCAAATTAGGCCTAAAAATAAGTATGTCAAATTTGATTGAAATCGGTTCAGATATAGCTATAGCTCCCATATATATTGTTCATCCGATTTGTTATTTTTGTCCTCCGCAGCCGTAATATGCACTCTGTAACAACAATATTTGGGGAAATATATCAAATGCAGCTCAGAAATACCTTTGGTAAATTTTATCAAGATCGGTTCAGATTTGGATATAGCTCCCATATATAACTTCGTCCGATTCACCTTTTATTGTGCACCAAACGTCTAATATTTGTCCAAAAGGGGTGGAATTCGGCACATACGACAGAATTGAGTCTAGAAGCTAGTATGTCAAATTTTGTGAAGATAGGTTCAGATATAGCTATAACTCCCATATATACTGTTCATCCGATTTGTTTTATTTGTTACCCACAGCCATAATATGCACTGCCTAACAACGATATTCAGGGAAATATATGAAATACAGCTCAGAAATATTTTTGCCAAATTTTATGAAGATCGGTTCAGATTTGGATATAGCTCCCATATATATCTTTATCCGATTTCGAATTAATTGTGCATCAAATGGGCAATACAAGTCCGAATTTAAAAGATACAAATGCGTCGGCATATTTAGTCCTTTGTACTTTAAATTATAATTATAATCACAGCGTGTAGGATAAAATTCTCCCACAAAAACTTTTAATTGTTATGCGGAGCTCTAGTAAATTAGCAAAGTGGTGTAGGGTATCATAAAGTCAGCCCCTCCCGACTTTAAGACTTTCTTTACTGTTTTTTTTTATTTATTTTTTATTTTATTTTATTATTATTATTATTTTTTTTTTTTTTTTTTTTGATAAGAAAACTTGAAATCGAATTTGTTTTCATTTTTCATAAATTTATTTATTTTTTTTTTATTTATTTGTTTATCACAAATTTTGTTTTAACTTAATAATTATTACTTAAATATACAATAGATCACCCAGTGATAACAGTTTTTTTTTTTAATATTTTTTTTAAATAAAAAAATCAAAATTTCTACTCTTCTTCATTCCCTACCAGATATGCTATGGAGAAGGGTTTCTTTTCCGGTGTACTGCCGGAACTCTGTTCCCTCTTAACATCAAAAAATGTTGTGCCACCCATCATCTCCCCCTCGCCAATGGCATTTGACAGCTTCATCAGTTCATGCAAATACGCCGTCGATCTCATGGCCCTTTCAATAATTTCAAAGGTTTGCTGTGAGAACTCCTTGTACTGCTCCTCAATGGCAATGTGTTCGAGTTTTTTGACACGACGACTCATGCGGCAGGCTATGGTGTTTTTATCCCTTCGCTCTTGTTCCTTGGGTGTTCGCTGCTTTTTGGGAAATTTCCTAACCATATTGCCATGATATTTACAAATGCTGGCCAATGTTTCGTTGCTGATTTTCGGTAAAATGGCGGCGGTGGGTTCAAGGGCTGGCGGACTGGCTGCCATCATCATGGGTGTGGAGGTTTTGCGTTCCAGGCCGGCTGGTGGGGGTATGGGTGAAAAGGCCGAGTAGGAGGTAGTGCTGCTGGCAAAGGAGCCTGTCCTTGGCCGTTTGTAAGGTGAGGGTGATGACAAGGTTGAAGCAGTTGTGGTGGTGTTCCAGTCGTTGGTGGGGTAATAGGTATTGGTTACCTCCTCTTCCACGGTTTCCACATCAATGTACAACTGATCTTCGTCCTCCTCACTCTGGGAACTATTAGAGCTCTCGTCTCTGGGCCGTTTGCCTTGATCGAATTTCTTGTGGCGATATTCAAATGATTCATCAATTGTTAAAGACATTTTGAAAAATTTTAAATATTTTAGTAACAATTTTCAAACTCGATGTTCTTTTTGTGCCGTCTTCGTTCCGACTATGCCTTTCTCCTGCCACAACGCTGGCATAAATACTCAAATTTTTTTTTGAAGCAAGGGTACCCGGTTTCTTATCACTTGGCATTTTGCCAAATGGTTGATGTGCCACCATTTATGATCTTGTTTGTTTGTTTGTTTTGCATCAATCGCGTCCTTCGCTACAGGCACTTCAGTCGCGACTATACAATAATAACCTACATCGTAGGTAGCGAGGAATCGAACCAAATGACACATTTGTGTGATAAGCTGTTTGTTTACACAATGTAACAGGTCAAAAGGGATAAGTGTGGTCCAGAAACAAACAACTTCTCACTGGTTGCAAATATTTTGTATGAACATATCATAGCTGCACTCATGGAATTTGCTGCAGGACACCAGACCTCATTGTGGAAACACTCGGAATTTAATATGTATTTTAAAATTCCAAATATACAGGGCTAGATAAAAAACAGCAAGAAAGTTAAACGCCATAATTTTTACATTTTTTTAAATTTCATTAAATGAAGGCAATAAATATCGGAAATAGCATCAAATTTTAGAAGAAGTTTAGATTTGTTCGAATTGGTCACCTTTGGCACGAATTATGGCCTTCAAACGGCCAATGAAACCGTTACACGCTGCCCGAATGTTGCTCTGCGGTATTTTGGCCCATTCCCGGCGAAGCGTTTGCTTGAGGTGATCGACACTTTGGTATTTTTTGAGCGCCAACCATGCTTTCCAAAATACTCCAGACACAATAGTCCAAAGGATTGGTATCCGGAGATTTTGGTTGCAATTGTGCGCTGGAAATGAAGCGAGGGATCTCATTTTGTAACCTTTCGTGGATGGCGCGTGCTGAGTCCTTGTGGAATGTCCAATGTCTGCAGCCAAAATGTTTGCGTGCCCAAGGCTTTAATACCCCTAGAATATTTTTCGCAATAATATTCGGTATTTATTCAGATGCCACGGTCGATTAATACGAGCGAAGAGCGACCATCGGCTGTTATGGCGGCCCACACCATCACAGACCTCAGCTGGCCTCTTTGGCAAGTAAACACTATAATTTTGTTTGTTTACAAACTGCTGGACAACGAATATTTTCTCATCGGAGACGGAGAAAACCAAATTTGGCAGTTCACCACTTTCGGCCAATCGAAGCTACTCATTAGCTCTTTTGAGTCTATTCTGTCTTTCTGTTGCGGTGTAAGTTCTTGAACTTTTTGGAATTTAAATGGCTTTACCCCGAGCTCATTTTTCAATATTTGTCGAATGGAATATTGCGATATGTTCAGCTCACGAGCCGAGCCATTTTTCGGGGGTTTCCATCAAGTCGCTTATATACTTTTCGAACCATTCCGGCTGATGTCGCTGTTTTCTTCCGCCCGTTTTTCTTGACGTCGGTCTAGGCTACCAGTATCACGGTAACGAGCGATGGTACGAGACACAAAAGATTTATTCACATTTAAATGCTGGAGGGCTCTAACGATAGCCACTTGTTTTTTTCTAGCCAAATCTAAAGAAATCACACTATCACGCTTGAATTCCATCACGGATAACTTTTTTTCTGGAAAATTCTCACCAAAACGCTTTTGTACGCTTGTAAACAATATAATGAGCTGTCACTGGAAAAATTTTAACGGCTGTCGGACAAGTGGCTTTGAAATGACAGCAGTCTGAAATTGATTGCAGTTTTTTGGAATAATTTATCAGCTGTCGGACGAGTGGCTTAGAACTGACGGCAGTCTGAAGTTGATTACAGTTTTTTTCAACTCACCCTGTATTACTGAAGCCCAATATATATAAAATGCAAGGATTCCAAAAATTCCGAAAATTTCCAATTATTACTTATTATGCGATTATACCCTATAACACTATGCGTAATTGCGTATAATTCTAATTGGGCCAAAAGATTTGTAACACCATGAAATGTTGGTCCTATATACAGGGTTGTCCATATTCGACGGACCCATCTGGCAACGCCATAACTTTTGACAGAGATGTCACATCGCTTAATGACATACCGCGTTTGAAGCGTCAGTCCAAGCAGATTTTTACCATGAACCAATACACGCCACGCGAGCTCTCTGAAATAGTTGAAATTTACATTCAACAGAAGAAGTCAATTGTAAAAAAAATGTGAGAAGTGCGCCTTCTAAGAACACCAGGTCACAATGTTGTTAAAGTTTGGGCCACAATAGAAGTCTATTATTTTTAAAGATGTTCGCAAAATATTTAGGGGTTGAATTGAACCAAAGAGTTGATAATTCTCCAGTCGCTCAACAGATCACAATTAAAAACCTATCGACACGAAATTTTGCATGTGGTTGGAGTTTAGGACAAGACTACACTCGGATGTTATGAGGTGAATGCCACAGGTCCAAAAAAGACAAAGTTAAAATTTTTTCAGGGCTACATGGCATTATTTCAAAAAATCGATCAAAATTGGTCTGGGCCTAAGGGGTTTTTCCAATCCCGCACGTTCCTATCCTTTATTTAATTCGTTAAAATTTATATTTTCGGTAATTTTTACGAATAGGGTTGGTTCTTATACCCTCCATCATACTATGGAGGGTATATTAACTTCGTCACTCCGTTTGTAACTCCTCGAAATACTCATGTCAGACCCAACCAAGTATATATATTCTTTATCAGCGTAAAATTCTAAGTCGATTTAGCGATGTCCGATGTCCCTCTATCTGCTGTAATCACGCTCTTTCGAACGAATTGAGATAGAAGGCTAAAATTTTGCACACATGTATATTTTGCCAGTAGGCGGTTTAAGTTCGTAAATGGGCCATGTAGGTCCAATTTCCAATTAACGGTACTTCCCGATATTCGGTATTTTGATGATTTTAGCGACATTTTTAACCGGAATTGTTTAAAATTTGGTATTTGAAGTTCGTAATTTGAACTACAGTCTGTGACAGAAATTGTTTATGCAGGTCCAGGTCTTCGCATAGCCCCAATATAATGGTTCCTCCCGATATTCGGCAATTTGATGATTTTAGTGACATTATTCACCGAATTTGTTTCAAATTTGGTATTTAAAGTTCGAAATAGATGCTACACCCTAAGACAGAAATTTGTCTGTGCAGGTCCACTTCTTCGTATAGCCCCCATATAACGGTGCCTCCCTATATTCGGTATTTTGGTGATTTTAGCGTCATTATTCACCGGAACTGTTTCAAATTTGGTATTTGAAGTTCGTAATAGATACTATAGCCTATGACAGAAAATTGTCTGCGCAGGTCCACGTCTTCGTATAGCCCCCATATAACGGTACCTCCCGATATTCCGTATTTTTTATGATTTTACCGACATTATTCACCGGAATAGTTTCGAATTTGGTAATTAAAGTTCGAAATAGATGTTACACCCTAAGACAGAAATTTGTCTGTGCAGGTCCACGTCTTCGTATAGCCGCCATATAACGGTCCCTCCCAATATTTGGTATTTTGACGATTTTAGCGACATTATTAACCGGAAATGTTTCAAATTTGGTACTTGAAGTTCGAAATGGATACTACTGCTTATGACAGAAAATTGTTTGTGCAGGTCCAGGTCTTCGTATAGGCCCCATATATCATTACCTCCCTATATTCGGTATTTTGACGATTTTGGGTACAATACCCACCGAAATTGTTTGAGATGTCGTATTTTAAATTCGTAATGGATGCTACAACCTGTGACAGAAAATTGTCTACGTCCATGTCTTCGCACAGCTCCGAATTGTACCACTCTATATACAATATTTTAATGATTTTAGCTCCATTATTCACCGTTTATTTCAAGCTTCGAATTTGAATATGGTAATGGCCTATGACAAACAATGCCTATGTAGGTCCACGTCATATAGACCCCAAGATAACGGCTATATTCGGTATTTTTAAAATTTTAACAGAATTTTTTAAGTATTCTATTTTTTGGAAATTTCCAAATTCGTTACGAATGGTGGAGGGTACTTACTGCTTTTTAACTTGTTCTCTTTAAATTCAGTTACGACTGCAAAGCAACTATTTTAACAAAAAATCACCGTTTTAAAACCACAAAGTGATTTCATTCGAGTTAGTTAATATTCTCACTCCATTGAATTCCAAGAATGAGAATATTTATTTAAAAATTAAAAATACTTTATTTTATTTATTTTTGTGGTTTTTTACTGTAAAAATTAGGCACAACATTAAGTGTTGTAATATATGGATATATAGATTTCTAGGCAGGGGTTAGGCAAAAGTGAAAAGGACAAGTTCGATAGCATTGACAGTGAAAAAAAAAACTTGAAACGTGCATGAGCTGTTGAAATCAGGGTTGTCAAACAAAAAGCTAAATAGTCGCCCTTAATAATCCTGACATATGGCGAAATTTTCCTTTTGGTCTTGTTTTATAATCGCCAAGGAGTTTTATCCTGAAAAGTATACACCCCTCACATTAAGGGTCTAAGGGAAACATAATTTCTATTTTTGCACAGTGCAATTTCTACTTCCCCGATTCCCCTATACTGCACCCCGACTGTGGATTCCGTAGGTGAAACTTTCCAACAATTCACACCCCATCAATCTCCCTTTGACAACTTGAAGTTTTTTTATATCGAACTTCAGAACAGCTATTAAAGATTAAATTCCCCAGAATACCCCTTGTCATGATGATGATGCTGATGAAGATCGGCTAACAAGTGTTGATAACAAAACCGTTAGCAAACGCATTTAACGCTGTAATACAATGTGAATGGATAATTGTTTCGTGGTAGGTGTCGGCACTCTGGGGGTAAGCAATTAATTCCGAGCCATTCGATTAATAAATAATCAATTGATTTAAATAAAAACGTGATAAGACATGATAGTCGCCACTGATTAGTTCACTTCAAACGTCAGCGAGAAATTGCAAAAATATTTATTTCTTTAGCTATTGGGAATAGTAGCGACAGCGTTAGCAGCAACAACAACAACAAC